TATATTTTGAAATAGATATTAATTGAGTCAATACTTTTCTTCTGAAAATTCAAAAGATAAAAATTGTGATTCTGGCTGTTCTTTTCTAAAATATTGAAGTAATGACATATATATATATTAAATTTTGGTAATTTTTTTTATGCATATGGAAAATCTACAAAAAAAAAAAAAATAAAAAGGAAAAATATCTGGCAACTCTTTTTTTTTCCGGAAGTTAAAAATTTTAAAAGGAAAATCGGATTTTTAAAGTACTATTTCCAGCCCTGGTTGGCTGCCTTACAAAAAAAGGGCTTAAAAATTTTGGCCGAGTTAAGCAAAAACTGACTTATAGAGTCTACCTATGTATATTAATGTATACCCTTATATTATCCGGAACACAAAAAAAAATTTACCTGTAAAAACTTGGGCATTTTTAAGGTATGCATTATTACTATTAATTCTACTATAGCTTAGCTGGGAACTTATATTAGTATTAGATGTGTTTATATAAAAAATTATTGGGGTCCTGTTGCAGTATTAATAAACCTCAGTGCTGCAACTGTCCCTGTTTGACAGACATTCATTTCTATACACATTAATAGTCCATAATATATTTCAATTATAATAATAATTTTTGTTTATTGTAACCTTCTAAACTTTCTTTAAAACAGTCTCAATAATCACTTTTATTAAAATGATTTATTTAAATGCTCACACATTAATATATTTTCCAAGAAATAAAACTAGTTAATACAAGGGGGAATGTTAGAATCCACCAATTTAATAAATTAAAAAAAATAATCTTAGTGGAGTTGACATAATCAATATCATAATATTATTAACGAAATGGAGTATTAGGATAAGATAGGGTATTTCTATATTCAAGCTGTTGATCACTAGGAATTTCTAAGATTTCACTTGGAGTTGCATTTTTTTTATTTCTATATTTTACAATCATGAATGTTGCTATTCCAACTAATATCACTCCAACTAAAATTGCAATTACTATTATTAATATTTGAAAAGTGTTTGATGATGTTATTGATGTTGATATATCTGGTTGTGGTGTTGGTGGTAGTGTTGATGATGGTGTTGATGTATCTGATCCTGGTGGTGTTGTTGTTGGTGTTGTTGTTGGTGTTGATGGTGATGGTGATGGTGATAGTAATGGTGATGGTGAATAACTTTCCTTCCAAGTAAAATCTTTAATATCAAGTATATAAGTGTTTGCAGTAGATGATTTTGGACCTGAAACATTATTTGTAACATTTCCTATATATGTATGTAATTAATTAATTAATTATTAATTAACTTCAAAGTTGAAAAAACAAAAAAATTTTAAAAAGTAAAAATATACCAAAACTTATTATCATTTGATCTCCAATTAAATTAGCTGAATGGCGTGTTACAGGTAGGGCACGATTAACATTTGAAAAATTAGGTGCTGACCATTGAAAAGGATTTGTGGTTGTATTTAGCACCAGAAGTTCAGGAAATGAAGTGGATTCTACAGGCCATCCACTACCACCATAAACAATTATCCTTCCATCCTTTGCTATGCAATATATATAATTTTAGTATGTTTTTTAAAAAAATTCTAAAAAATTTTAAATTAAAAATTTATTACAAAGTACAGCTGAATGACCATTTCGAGATTGGATTTGTGATGGTCCACTTGCTATCTAAAATTTTCAACAAGGTGTAAGAAAATTTGAAATAAATTGTTTTTTTTTCATAAAGAATCTAGTAAACTTTATATTTTAATTGATTAAATATTTACCATAATTGTCCAAGTTGAATTACTTGTATCAAAAATTTTTATCTATAAAATGAATATATTAATATTTTATTTCATAATCAATATTTTCTATACAAAATCTATAAAATAAATGCATACTCTATACATGTCAACCGGAATTGAAGGTCCTCCATTCCTCTCTCTTCCACCAATAATTACAATTCTACCATCAGGCAATAAAGTTGTTGTATGATCATAAGTTGCCAATGGTGGGTTGGTAGTTCCAGAGACTAAACTCCAAGTCAGGTCTACTGTATTCAAAATATACATATCATTAAAGCTTTGAAAGGTAGGAGATCCAGTAGGTTTATCTGCTAATCCACCAAAAATATACATTTTTCCTTTATCATCTGCAACAGCACTACTTTCTCTACGATTAATCATAGGTGCAGTACCAGTTGTTTTTGGAGTACTCCAAACTTTTGTATTTACATCATATGCATAAAGCAAGTTGGTGAAATCATAACTATCACTAATTTGATTTACCATAATTCCACCAAATAAAAAAATTG